AAGCTTATGACAACTGGTTATAAATGAGTGGATGGCTAGAACTTTAACTGTGATACCAACATGATTCTTTTACATATACATATAAAGAATAGAATCATTCATTTATTTATCTAAGAACATACAATTTTATGTTCTTCAAATATGTTTTTCTTCGAAGATTACTCTTTCTTTGTAGATATACATAGTTTCCGATCAATTGGAAGTTGCGGGGGACGTCATATGCACTTTTCTTTTTCAAATGGAAACTCTGTGTTCTGCGTTTTGAGCAATGAGTTTCGGGGATAGAAGTATCTCAACACGTGGTTCATGTTTATTCGCTAAGTTCATGAATGTTGCAGCTGATCCATCTCTGTTTGAAGTTCTTTTGTTTCATATTGCAATATGCAACTGAGCTTCGCCTATAGTGGAGGAAATTTTATTTTTGGCATTTCATATACTTTCAGAATGATTGCAAGCTTTTCACTGTTTTGATGGATTTGCATGAAGCATATATATACATTTTAGTATTTCTTTGAATTTTCTCTTTGTGCTTTTGAAACAAGGGAAAAACCAAATTGCTGTTTTGTTGAGAACTTGATTCTTGTGCAGAATTTGAGACACACATCAAACACGGGAGCGTCTGTTGCAATGGGGCAGTCTGATGGTGCTGAATATGTTACTATCAGTGAAGCACCAACTCCCACATCAGATAACTTTAAGAAAGTATCGGTTTTACCACTTATTTTCCTGATCTTCTATGAGGTGTCTGGAGGTCCATTCGGGGTTGAGGATAGTGTCAATGCTGCTGGACCATTTCTTGCTCTTCTCGGATTTTTGGTTTTTCCATTCATCTGGAGCATTCCAGAAGCATTAATTACTGCTGAGATGGGCACTATGTTCCCCGAAAATGGTGGTTATGTTGTTTGGGTTTCATCGGCATTAGGTTCCTATTGGGGGTTTCAGCAAGGCTGGATGAAATGGCTGAGTGGGGTCATCGATAATGCTTTATATCCGGTTTTGTTTCTTGACTATTAAAGTCTGGAATCCCTGCTTTAGGAGGTGGTTTACCTAGAATCTTTGCTGTGCTTGCTTTGACTTTAGTGCTCACATATATGAACTATAGGGGTTTAACCATTGTAGGATGGGTTGCTGTGCTTCTCGGGGTTTTCTCACTCCTTCCCTTTGTGGTCATGGGTTTGTGTCGATTCCAAAAATAGAGCCTTCAAGATGGTTTGTTGCAAACATTCATGATGTCGATTGGAATTTATATTTGAATACACTCTTTTGGAATCTAAACTATTGGGACTCGATTAGTACGCTCGCTGGAGAGGTAGAGAACCCGAAGAAAACTCTCCCAAAGGCCTTGTTTTATGCTTTGATCTTGGTGGTTCTCGGATATTTCTTTCCGCTATTAGTTGGTACGGGGGCCCTTCCCCTTGATCGCGAGTCGTGGACTGATGGTTATTTCTCAGACATTGCTAAGTTATCGGTGGAGTTTGGTTGAGATGGTGGATCCAAGCAGCTGCAGCAATGTCGAATATGGGGATGTTTGTGGCTGAGATGAGTAGTGACTCCTTCCAACTTTTGGGGATGGCCGAGCGCGGGATGCTACCAGAGTTCTTTAGTAAGAGGTCTCGCCATGGAACTCCTCTAATCGGGATCTTATTTTCTGCTTCAGGTGTTCTATTGTTGTCATGGTTGAGCTTTGAAGAGATTGTAGCTGCAGAGAACTTCTTGTACTGTTCGGGATGATTTTGGAGTTCATAGCATTTGTTCGGTTAAGGATGAAATATCCGGCCGCATCACGACCTTACAAAATACCCGTGGGGACGGTTGGATCGATCCTTATTTGCATTCCTCCAACCATATTGATATGTGTTGTGTTGGCTCTTTCTTCGCTCAAAGTTGCAGCGATTAGCCTTGTGGCTGTCATTATTGGCCTCGTAATGCAACCTGGTCTCAAGTACGTTGAGAGAAAAAGATGGCTTAAGTTCTCTACTAGTGCAAACCTTCCCGACCTACACGTCTCCAGTAACGATGACACCGATTCCATACCAAGATGACATATCATCATTAAAAACTCGAAGGTAAAGTTCTTCGTCGATTCCCGAGCCATTAACCTCCATTTGGAAAGGTGTTTGGTTATGGAAATGTTCATGAATGTTGTTCTATCTTGTTTGCATTAGCCCGTAGCTTAGTCACGTTCGGGTAGCAATTATGAACTACCCGAACTACTTATCGTCTTCGAATTTAGAGTGATGGTAGATGAACACAGTGATTGAATAATTAGAAGCAAATACCAAATGGTTGCATATCTGAAGTCATTTGAACTATGACTTCGTTAGCTATTAATAGTGGTTTCCTTGTTAACTTCTGGCCTGACGTAATTTATGCAAATCGCGCGCGCACACAAACACGGATTGGCCAACATATCTGATTTTGTATTCGACTATTAATATTTGAACTCAAATTTATGTGTTATTATTCGAATTTTATTTTTTTAAGGTTTAATACTAAAACAATTATTCAAATTATATTCTAAATTAACTTTAGGTGTTTAAAGTATTTCTTGCTACAAATAAGTGTCTCATTTTTTTCCGTTAAACTTTTAAGTACCTAAATTGTAACAATTGTTAAAAAATTATTATCCAAATAAGATGTAATACATAACCATAATTTAATTTTTCACGATTTTCTTTAAATTCAAATTCAAATATAAATTAAATTAAATTAAAAAATAAAAATATTTTTAATCCTAATTTGTGGGTCTGTTCTTCCTTTTCTGTAATTAGGGTTTCGTTCTTTGCAACCTAACCCCACAATCATATATGGTTTTTTTTCAATCCTAGGTGCTAGTTCAATTCGTTCTTTGCAACTTAAACTCTAGGGTTTTCTCAAATATCAATTTTAGATTTTTTTTTTGTTTAGATTTAGGATTTGATCGAAAGTCAAATAAAAAAAGAAAGAAAATGAGAAAGAGATTGCGAATCTAACCTTTTGAAACACTAAACCCTAATCTAACAATAAGAAATCATTGAAAACAATACGAGAAAGAATACAATTGAAAGTGAAAGAGGAAGGGAAGTAGATGAACATTTTCAAAGAAAGAGAAGAGAGGAGGAGAATCGATGGTAAACTTTCCTGATTTAAAAATATATAATCTCAAAAAAATAAATAAATTGAAATTTGATAATCAACTATTGAACACCAATGATTAATGATCATGCGTTTAATACCTAGTTTTAACCCAATTGGAAAAATCGACTATTTCAACGGTTGCGGTGAGAAAGCTCGTCTAGAATAAAAATACAAATTTATCATCATGCTTGTTATTGTAATATTAATTTTACTTTAGTATGCTTGTGCCGTTTCATTCCTTTTTTTTACGTTCTTTTTTTCGTTTGCTGTCTATAGAAAATTTTAATTTAATTATTTTTAAAAAATTGTTAATTTATTAATTTAAAATTAACTTATTGGTTTTATTAACAAATTAAAATAACATTAGTGATTTTTATTATAATATTAAAAAATTGTTAGTAATTTTTAACATTAGGTAAGTTAATTTATTTTTAATTTATAATATCATGTTTGAAATGAACATTATATATTCTCAAAAGTAGTTTTTGACAGCAATACTAAACACTAAAATTTTAAACTCAATTTCTCAAAACCACTTTTAAAGAATTTTTTCCACAACAATGCCAAACTAGCTCTTAGTCAACGATGATCAAAGTAAATGATTTTTAAAAAATATTAACTATCGAACAACACATGTCAATCTTTAATTAGTTAAAGGTGCCATGTGACACGTTTTAATAGGTGCTACATGTCAAATGAGGGTTTTAGATACAATTAAATTGAACTTGATAACGAAAATAACTGTAAATCTCAATCTAAACCCAAAAAAAAATTAGAACTAAAGTGAAAAACAAAATATAATTTAGGGGCTAAACATGTTTATAAATTACATTTAAATTTAATATAAATTATAATAATTTATTCACTTGTGATTCAATTGATAATAATTTCAGCTTTTAGCCCTAAACATAAATAATGTTATTTTAATGGGATAGTATAAACTAATTTGAGTATGAATTATATAAATTTCACACATTTGAAGTTTATCAAATATTAAATATTCGTCTTCCTACTATATATATATATATATCACGAGAGATCCACTTATATTATGTAGAATTTATTAATTTATATATATTTTAATCTTTAGCAAATTTAATTTAATTTCTATTAATTCTAACTGTAAATATAATTTAATCTAAAGATAAAAAAAATGTGAAACAATAGATTTGAGATAATATAATGAGATCCATTTAATAAATAGAAGTAGCAATTTTGTCTTACTTAACAATGGTAGGGCCATCAACTTCACCAAAACGTAATTAGTAAAAATGTTAGCCCAACAACCAGAAAACACCCACATTCCAATCACTATTAAGACTTTTGAGTTACTCATATAATATTCTTTTAAAATAATATATATTCATAAATTTCACTTTTTGACCAACAAAAATTTGAATTATAAAATTAATAAAATATATACAATAAGTACTATATATATATATATAAATTAATTAAATACAATATGATTATTTGTCAAAAATAGTGGGATAACCTACTCCCATATGAGATTGATAACCAAACTCCTGAAATGACAACATTCAAACCAATATGTTATTTTCTTACAATTTCATTGCTTCAAAATTGTACATACTAATTATTTTATACAAGGGAATAAACAAAAATAGTTTTTTAAATATCAATAAAAAATACGCGACAACATTACAAACTCACTTTGTATATGAAATAATAATCTTATATATATAACCTTTTTAGTAGTTTAAGTGATTATAAGGTAATATCTGTTTGAATTTTTTTTTAACTATTAACAAAACATACACACCCTACGAATGCAACTACTTGAACCTTCATGGGTTATATATATAATATATTTTAGATTTGCATAAATGTGGTGAAATCTCAACCTCAATGTACAAGATGGCATGTCTCACTTCACACTTGAGCCTGCATCTTCTCTTCTAAGCTATCCTCCTTGTCTCTTTCCATTTTCCCCCCATATTTACTCCATTATTGTTGTCTCAACTTTACATTGCTTTCTCTGTGTTTTGAATGTTACTTATCTAAGACTATTTTAACATCAATCTTATGTAACTTTGCTTCATCAACCCCTTTTTTTTCTCTAATTAATTTTCCATGGCTTTAATCCATTCTTTATGTCGTGTCTCATTTTCGGCTCTGGTAATTGTCGTATTATATGTCTCACCGGCACTTTCGACATCGAGGGGAGCATCGGGAGACTTGGATAAGGTTCGAAATGGGTTCAGGGTTATGCTCAAGCATGTTGATTCGGACAAGAATTTAACCAAATGGGAGCGGATGCAACGTGGGATAAAGCGTGGGAACCATAGGCTGCAGAGGTTGAATGCCATGGTTTTGGCAGCAGACACGGATTCTGCCACGGTTCAAGCGCCTGTGGTTGCGGGGAATGGGGAGTTTCTAATGGACTTATCGATCGGGACGCCACCGACGAGTTACTCTGTGATATTGGATACCGGCAGTGATTTGATATGGACTCAATGCAAGCCTTGCACCCAATGTTTCGATCAATCCACCCCGATCTTCGACCCGGAAAAGTCTTCCACGTTCTCCAAGTTATCTTGCTCGAGCGACCTATGCTCCGCGCTACCTCAATCAACATGCAACGATGGATGCGAGTATCTCTACACCTATGGTGATTACTCGTCGACACAAGGGGTCATGGGAACCGATACATTCACATTCAACAAGGTTTCGGTTCCAAAAATCGGATTCGGGTGCGGCGAAGACAATGAGGGCGATGGATTTTCGCAAGGTGCAGGCCTCGTTGGGCTCGGACGCGGACCCTTATCGCTAGTTTCGCAACTGAAAGAACCCAAGTTTTCTTATTGCTTAACCTCCATCGATCAGACACAAAAGAGCTTACTTTTGATGGGGTCAATAGCAAGTGGGAAAGAATCATTAGGTGCAATGAAAACCACACCATTGATACGTAATCCATCACAGCCATCATTTTACTATCTTTCACTTCAAGGCATTACCCTCGGAAGCACTCCCTTGCCTATCAAGAAATCAACTTTTGCACTCCAAGACGATGGCACGGGCGGCGTAATCATCGACTCCGGCACCACAATCACATACCTAGAACAAGCTGCTTTCGATGTGCTGAAGAAGGAATTTATTTCTCAAATGGGGCTTTCCGTCGACAGTTCGAGTTCAACAGGTCTTGACCTATGCTTCAGCTTGCCGTCGGATTCGACGCAAGTCCAAGTACCCAAACTGATATTCCATTTCGTTGGAGCGGATTTAGATTTACCGGCAGAAAATTATATGATCGCCGACTCGAGCTCGGGAGTGATTTGCTTGGCGATGGGAAGTTCGAGTGGGATGTCAATCTTTGGCAACGTTCAACAGCAGAATATGTTGGTTGTTCATGATCTAAAGAAGGAAACGGTGTCTTTCGTTCAGACACAATGCCAAAATGTATGATTTCATTTTCGTTTGTGTGTTGATTTGTAACTTTTCTCTTATGGTTCACAATTTCTTGTATAGATAATAGATTTATGTTTGAATTTATTAATGCTCCTAATTAGCTTATTTTAGCCATCAAATTAAGGACCAGTTTCAAAAATATATATTATTTTATTCATTTATTTTATCCCATGTTATTATATTCATATGTGCGTAATTGTTTAAAATATTCAAAGACTCAAGTCCCAAGTAATATAGATAGCCTTTCGGTCATTGCAGCTTAGTTATAATATTAATTTCTAGTTTTTTTCTTTTTTGGGCCATATCAACAATGATATCAGACTTAGCGTTGGTCACCGATAATCGATATTCATTATTTTTTATTTTATTTTATTTTATTATGTCGTATTTTTTAAAATTTTTTATAACTATATCTTTATGACATATTTTCTTTTGTTTTTATGATACGTTTTCTCTGTCTTTTGACACATTTTCAGTTATTTAATAGTTATTTTCGTTTATCATTTTTCTCATAGTTGGATTTAATATCATCAAGATTGATCAAGATCACGTTCACTTAGTATTATGTTGATCTCCCCTACTTTGGACCCTTGAATTAAATTTGGATACGTGATTTGCGTTTGTGAATAGTTTTCTCATGTTGCTTTATTTAGATTTATGGTTTGTCGGTAGTCTTTCAATAACTTGATTCCCTTCTATGGTTCGTTTATTAATACAATCAGATATGTCCGTATCTATATTTTATTCGAGTTTATTTGATTAAGTTTTTTACATTTTCCATATATAGTTCTTGTATGATCTTAAGTGACTAGTTTTTTGTGTTAATGATTATAGGAAAATGTACTTTTATAGTATTAATGAAGTAAACAAATATTGTGATAATAATATCACCTGAAAACCTGATGAACTCTACATGCTTCTTCCATGATGGAGGTAATAGTATATAGTCAAACTTATGATAAAGCTTTCTTACCCACCATTATATCAAGATTAAGGCTTCTTAGCTTGATTTGGTTTATGTCGACGTTCTTATGAAGCTATCTTAATACTAAATATGTTCAGAACATTGTACGTAACATTATTCAAAAATATTTTGTGGTTTTCAATTTTTTTAGTAAGGGACAACTTTTTACCTCCACTATCCACACCAAGAGCAACAGCGCATAACCCTGAAGATACAACTGCATCAGATCCACTCGAAGAACCACCAGCAATTTTGTTGGGATCATAGGGATTTCTAATAGGCCTGCAGCAATCACAAAATTTACATACTACCAACTTTAATATCTTTTAAGGGAAAGAACTTGGACAAGATAAAGGAAATGTTAAATTTAATGACATTGGTTGACTGTATATTAATTTGTAATTAGGACAACACGGATGATTAATCTGTAACCGTGACACCATACCCTAAATGGGAAAAAAATGAGCAGGATATAATTGTATTTAAACATGGAATTTTTTTTATTAAAGGGAAAGAAAATCACAAATTCTCACCCGTAGTGGGGATTTATCCCACTTACTCCGGCTCCAAGCTCATGCATGTTAGTCTTTCCAACAAGTATAGCACCAAAGGATGTTATAAATCCAAAGGGTTCTTTATTAAAATGATGTCCACTTTTGCTTAGTCTGTAGATCAACTGTTAACTTGTTTATCTCCACGATCCTGGGTCTAGGGTTTATAAAATAATCCATCATGGAGAATGCTTACATCCTTGTGGCTCATGATAATGGACACAACAATGTATCCATAAAAAAAGCACATTAGGATACATCTAATGATTAATTATAGTAAAAAAGTTGCCTCTTTCATACCGAAGCGTTGACTCTCTAGCTTGCCTTAGGATATCTTTAGCATCATAGTTAATGAAGAAGAACATTGGAAAAGGAGGACTGCAAGATTCACGCACAGCATCTATAAAATGCTTTGCAACCTGCAGAATTGAAATTTTATTTTCATGACCATGGTAAACCAAAAATTAAGGACACAAACTATCAAGAAAGTCTCAAAAATCAGTGGAAACATAATCACATATAAATGGAAACCAAAAATATGCCATAAACGAGATAGCCAAGAATAATACTCTCAGTGGAGTTATAGCTCCAGCGCTATAGGCTCTTGAATAATCTGCTATAGTCCATCGTCGGAAACAGCTGAGTTTTAGATCACCCAGTGACTTCTCCGAGGTTACAGGAATGCATTTTATTGCCTCTTGAACTCGTTCCAGTGGAGATGCATCAAAATCAATTTGTTTGACTTCTTGTTGGTTAAGCTCTGTGTTAATGCAATCTAATTAGACACAAGACAAGAAACACCTTCACAATAGGAGAGTGCACATTGAAGTCAAGACATGAGGGTGTAAGGTATGTTTATATGATGTACACAAATGCTTAATAAAACTACTAGCAATATATGATATATCCCATTCTCAATACCTTTTTTTTTTTGAAAATCCATTCTCAATACTTCGTACCCTAAGCAAGGTGTACTTCTCTTTTCCCCAGTCATTATGACCTACCTTGACCAGCAATTATGTAGCACAACCACTTGAAGTATTAGTTCATTGAACACCTTTGGAACATAAGAAACTTCCAGAGTCTGGAATCCAGATTGGAGTAATATAATTATCGGAATAATTAATGGCAAACGAAAACAACCTAACAGAAAAATAAGACGCAAATATTTACGTGGAAAACCCAAAAGAAAAAAACCACAGGCAGAGGATAAAAACTTTCACTATGTCGAAAAATACAAGATCTGTTACAAATGTTACATCACGAAACTCTAATCCCCACTATCTATTTATAGGGATCAAACAGATTATACTGCTTCATATCGCAGGGGCCCTCACACTTTTACCACTGTTTTGATTGTAACTTCATGGGCTGGTCTAAGTAGAAATTGGGTCATATCTCTAACAATAATATTCTACGTTTCTTCCCTGTTGGTTTCTCATATAGGGAGGAAACATGATAGAGATTTTAATGGAAGCAAATATTTTGATGCAGTGTTTAACAAGTTCTAAAATGCTTCCATAACCTATTTTTATTATAGACAGAAAAAGTCTGATTTTATTTATGACGATGAAGACGAACTGTCAGCAGTATCCAAAATGTGGTAATCTGAATCATATGAATCGCGGAAAGTATAGGAAGTGAGGGAACGAACATAGGAGGTTCCACCAGCGTTGCATTTGTAACAAGCTGTTCAAAGGGAAGACACAATCAGAAAGAAGTTCACAATAAAAAGCAGACAAGCAACCAGTTTAAGTTTCCAAGATGAAATGAATAACAAATGCCACTCCTACCGAATTCTTTCAGGCTAGATGATTAATCTTCCATTTGACAAAAGGTATATCTAGAGGTGGGTATACGGGCTACCCGCCCGTTTAGCCCGCGGGTTTTGACGGTGCGGGCTTAAACGGAGCGGGCTAAAAAGTCCGCATTCATAAACGGTTTTGAATTTTAAGGCCTGCGACCCGTCCATTTAACCCGCGTGCTAAACGGGCTTACATGCGGCCCGTTAAATAAAAATAATTTTAAAAGCTTTAAATGCAATAAAAAATAATGTTTTAACTTACTACAAATTTAAAAATGATCGAGCAACTTGAAAATGAAGGTAGCACCGTCAAAATAATAAATAATATTTAAATTTTATTTTAAATAGCCAGAAATGATTATAAAATAATATTTTTTAATTTTTTAATCATTAATATATATATATATATATATATATATAATGATATAATTACTTAAACTCAAATTAAAAAAATAATATTCACTTATATCACCAAATTGAAAAACAAATAAGACAATAACCACATTATACTTTTATAAAACACGATTATTCAAGGCTATAATATGAAGACACGAAAATGTCTGAAAGCATAAATTCAAACATAAAAATTCAACAAAGTCAAACATTATATAAATCTAACAAGAAAGTTGTCAAGTAGTCCTAATAATTGTATTTTATGGATACTTTAGAGAAAGTCTAAAATATAATATGAAAATATAAAATAAAATATTTACAGTATAAGATTAAATTTGAAAGATACAATTATACTAAAATTGATAAAATATAAGTCATTAATTTGTTAAAATATATTTATTTTGTAAAAGTCTTTAAAAGTTGAAAAATATGTTTTTAATTTTTTCTTTTACTTTTCTTTCTTATTTTTAATTCAAATATTGCGTGTCATGTGATATATTATTAGAATATCACGTGACTTTTTATAATTAAAGAACAAAATAGATAACATACTTCATGAAAAAAAATAAAGATCAAAATTAAATAAAAAAAATCTTTAAATATCAAAATGATAATGATGTATATTTAAATGAAAAAAGAATTAAGCAGCGGTAAAATTATGACAAACGCCATAATAAATTTAAGAACTACAATAGTTATAAGTAACATCATATTTATAGGTAATTTATTTTCTTTTTCTATAAAATTTTTTAATTTTATTTTCTCTAAAATTTTATGAATTTTAAATTAAGCGGACTTTAGCGGGTTTCGCGGGTAGCCCACGGTTATACCCATTAAACCCGCGGGTTTAACGATAAAGGCTAAAAAGCCCGCAATTTAAACGATCTTCAATTTTTTAGGCCCGAAGCCCGCACGGGTTGCGGGTTAAACGGGTAGCCCGCGGGCCTTAGCCCATTTACCCAACTCTAGGTATATCGGTTCTTTCCATAGTAGTGCTTTACAAGTGTATAAAGAGCAAAAAGTTCTGATCTTCTTTCTTTTTGGATGAATGCCATATTTCTACGGAGCCTAATCCGTATATTAAACTAAAATCCGTATAAGCTAACAAGTGCACACCTTGTGAACTTGATTGTTCTTCTTCACTATGTACAACAACAATGCTCCAATGATCCTTGACTCCAAGAACCAGGCAAAGATTTTCAGCAGAAATCCAGCCATACGAGAGCTATATTCAAGAACAAAAAAAGGGTAAAAATCAAGTCAGTGTGACGATTAATCGAGTAAAATTAAACATGGTTTTCAAAGGGTAGTCCCTGACATTCCTGAATTCAGCTGCTTAAATTAAAATTCCCAGAAATCAAAACCGTTTATCCATTTAAACCAGAAATGATCAACTACTATAGTACTATTGTAGTAATTAAAACATAAGTAGAAACAGAACAACTGCAATTCATCTTGAATTTCTTGATTACAATCACTAAACAAAATAAATTCTTAAAACAGTTTGATGAGAACAACTTTCTCATTTTCAGCAACTAAAATCACATTATATACTAAAATGAAACAATTTTATCATTTTCAGCAACTGCAATCGAGAATCTGTTCAAGGAACAGTACTGATCACTGAAATAAAAGAAAATCCAAGTATGAATTTCGATGTGAAAACAAGAAATTAGTAAAAAGAAGACTAACGATAATAAATTAATGCACAATAAAGGGTTTGGTTGGAAAGAAAACCTTTATCAGCTTTAAAATACAACTCATTGCTGCAAGGACCAAGATCAATCTCCTCAACGGGCTTGTAAACAACGCCGGCATCCCTCATCAATCCCATTTTTGCATGAAAAAATGTTGGTGGAGGTTGCTGGAGCAAAGTCAGGTAAACGGATTCAACTTTCAAGTCAAACAAACAATCTTGAACCGATACAGTTTATATATATATAAAATTGGGCTTTGCTAATAACGATAGTTATATACTGCATGCAACATTTAATATATGGAATAATTTAATAATTCATTAAAAAAATATAATAAACCTTCTGAATAGTACATTTTATTTAGGATATGAATGAGTTTAGTCATAAATTTAAAAATTAAAGGTAAATGATTTCTCATATTTTCAGCCAGTTCGATTTAAATCCCTCTGTTATTAATTTCTATTAACCCTCTTTTGCTTAAATCCCTTTTATTTAAATCCCTAACATAATTGAGAGACTAAAATTGAACGGGAATTAACAGCTAAATGACTAAAATCGAACAGATCAATAACATTAAAGATTAAAATCGAACGGATCGATAATGTTATAATAATTTTCTCTTAATTTTTAAATTAATGATCAAATTCGATCAAACTAAAAATATAAGAGACTATTCGTATAATTTATCTTAAAAATATTCTAAAAATTAAATTCAAACAGTTATATTTATATAAGACAAATATTATCAATCAATTAAAAAAATTAAAAAAATCATTCAACCATAAATTCCATTTTTACTTGGCAGAAATCGCCATCAAAGAATCAGCGGATATTAATGAGTAGTGCTAGTTGCGTGTATAATATTAAAAGTAAAATACAAGTTAGTCATTTTTGTTTTAATTTTATAAACGTATAATCATTAGATTCAAAAATGTAATTCGTAGTTATTATCGTTTTGTTTTAATTAAAATATAGTAATTGAAATATTTACTTCTGATGTAAAACGTTAGTAAAAAGATTTAATTTTTCTTTAACATCTAAATTCTAGATAAAATACTAATTAGATATTATTTTATAAATTCAAAGTAATTTAGGGGCAATGTTATAGTTTACCCTTTTTTTAATATGTTTTCTTCTCCAACCCATCTTCTTTTTCCCCTAGCTTCTCACTTACGCCGCCGCACAACCCTTTCTTGCTGTTCATCTTCTTCGTATATTCCTTGTGCTTTTACAGGAAACGTGTAATGTAAACCTGAGCTATGAACTTACAGGAAACGTCTAATTAGTAAAACCAAGCTCAAACACAACATGATTATATATAAACTTAAAATACCTGAGCTGTTCAACAACGAAAAAATCCAAGCCAAATTAGTAACGAATAGAATCCACGCAAAGTGGGAAACATGAAAGTGAAAAACACATTCAATAGAAGGAAAATATAGAGGGTGATCATCAAAGAAACACATAGAGCTAAAAATGAAACAAAACTGATTCAAAGCCAATAATGGCTTCAAATTCACCAAAACAATCGATCAGCGAAATGGCATGATCTAAAGGAAATACGAAAGTTAGAGGTCAATTCAAATCAATTTCTTAAAAAATAAAAGAAAATTGGCAAATAAATCAATCTAAAATTTAAACTCTAGAATGTTACAAAATCTAAATAAACTCTAGATCTTTAATTTTACAAGATGTACGATTTGAATTGGAGCGAGAGAAAGAGAGGATACTTGCTTCGTTAATCTTGGTGAGAAATTGTGAGAAAACGATACTGTTTGGTAGGAAAGAAAATTGGGGAAGAATGTTTGAGGTGGGGAAGAAAATGGGAGTTTTCTCAGATTATATAAGTAAGAAACTTAGATATGAAGCAGGGGAAGCGGCGGAGAAGAAAGAAACCACTTCTTCGTTTGCTGACGGTGGAGTCCGGAGTAGTGACCACTGGCGGCGTGGGTTTAGGTCTGCGAGGGTCACGACTGTAGAGAAGAAGGATATGTGAGGCGCAATAAGAGGAGTTGGAGAAGAAAATATATTAAGAAAAAGGGTAAATTAAAACTTCGTATCTGAATTACTTTTAATTTATATAAAATGATCTTCAATTTAACTCTTTTACTAGTGTCTATTTTTATTGTGTGATCATTATACTTGTCATTATCTTATGACAAATTGATATTAGAGTGTATTCATATTTGATTCAATCAATATAATAGTGTTCATGAAGTATAAAATTTCGTTGTTAAATCACAATACCAAATTCACGTTGTGTAGGTAAAGATGTAAGTAATTATTGTGTAGATGAATTTGAATAATATCTTGCTATAGTTATATTAGATATTTTAGTCATTGACACCTGAGGAAAGGCAATATAAAGATCCAAAGGTTCTATCATAAATACATTTTCATATTCCAAATGGAATTCTATAAGACATGTTGGATGATAAGAGATTGTTGTGTTATGATTGAAGGTAAATCAATTGTCCATCTCGACCCCTAACTAACAAGTTACACACGAAGAAACACTTTTATTCTCAGCAATTGACAGATGGTATGTCTCTGATAAACTATTTAATTATCTTTAAAGAAATTACCTCAGATTTATAGATCATTAAAGTTAAGTATGATAAAGATATTTATGGTTAATTTTGTTTTCGTTGTTGCCTCGTTCTTATTCAACCTTTAGAGATACAATTTTTTATAATCGTGAATCTTTCACAGTTGATTAAGTTTATGATTTTTTAGCCTTATATGGTCAGATAAATATATTGTGACTAAATTAGACTTTCAAAAAGAAGGTGTTACTTTTCATTTAATGACTTAAGTAAAAGGGTTTTGACAATGATATAAAGACTAGGCCAAAATTAATGAACACGATAAAAACTTATTATTATTGTTAGAAAAGAGTGTGCATTGGGTCGGGTGTTACGAGTTACAAAATAAAAACCAAAAGGATAATACAGATCACAACAAAAAAATAATTATAGAAATCTATAGAAGTTGATGTGGTGGAAGGTTATGACGGTAAATATTTTATATTACACAAGGAGTGAATTCTTAAACTTAATAATAATTTTCATATAAATCCAAATCATGATTAGTTTGCGACGTATGAAAAACGTCTAAATAATGCATCTAGTATAATCAAAAGTATTGGACTCAAGATTAAAATGTCCAATGAGATTGTTCCAACACTTTATGATATAAGGCATGTTCTAGATTTAGAAGAAATGAGATTTTGCTAGGTATTTTATATACGAGGGATAAAAATACTTCAATTAATATAAGACTATGAAAATTTGTAAGGTTCTCTTATTGTGATAAAAATATAGAAAAAGGATACTAAATTTTATGTTTTGCAAGGTTTACAGTTTTATATGAACGATATTGTAACACCTCAAAACTTGAATCAATTTTTTTTAGTATGATGATTAGAAAATTTTATAAAGAGTTTAAATATTAATTTAAAATATCGAAAAGGGTTCCATATTCAAATTAAGGTCAACTGATTAAACAATGATTTAATTTAGGATTAAAATGAAAATTAAAAAGTGGTAATTGAAAATTTAAGAACCAAATTCAAATAGAAGCAAAAGATGAGTTTTGCATGGAAAATAAACCAATTGAAGTACATAATGGAAGATTATGAAGATAGTGAGCTTATGTGTCGTCCTTCATAACATTAAATTTAGTATTATTCAAAAAATTGTTTATATTAATTAAGATAGCTAAATGGGTGAACATCGCTAATTTATATTATTCTTTTACTCAACGGGTTGAGAAAGAGCGAGATGTGATTATTTATGTAACTCCCATATAATTTAAAATTGAATCAGAAATATAGCATTAATCGTTAAAAATTTAACTAAATTCGATTCAAATTCAAAATATACATGCAAACATTAAGTTTATCATAATTTCTTTCGTAGAGACTAATTAACATATATATCAAGCATATAGGCCATATTGTAAAACAAGTAAGTAATCAAAATGGATCAGATTGAATGGTTTAACTAAGTTGGGATATGGGTTTCAAAAAATATAATACTTCCAAAAGATTTTAAAACCAACTGTAGGGGTTTCTGGTACTCTAAATAATCTGCTTAAAAGGTTTTGAAACTTACTTTCAAGGGTTTCAAAACTCTTCCTATATTTTAAACAAATATGTTACCTACTAAATTGTTACCAAGTAATTTCAGGATATAAATTTGGGGATCAATTTACACCCAACATACAAAAGATACCCAACAAGCAAGTCACATATAATAGTTTATAACATCATTTTAACATGAATCAATTAAAATATTTTAATTATTAGGATAATGTTCAGTTCAAACGAACATAGTTAGATGCGTATTTTGTAACTTTTAATAATTGAAACGTTAATAAAGTAATATCATATCATTTGAGGACCATTGTTTACTTTACCATATAATTTAATCATTTACTTTTTAAAATAACAATTGATGACGTTATTCTCGATTTGAACAAAGTTAAATTGAAGAATGGGTGATCACAGTAACACCATCAAATCTCCACATCCAAATCAACTACCCTACTAGCATGTAATAAAAATAATTTTAACTGTAAAAAATGGGGTCGGTTAAAATTTAAAGGCCGTTATTATTTACACTTTTTATGACATTGGCCTTTATTTTTTGTAGTTAAATTTGACATTTATTTTCTGAAAAACATTTATTTTTAATAAAAAATTAATTAAAGTATTAAAATTGTAACATATTTTGGAGTGGTAGTTCATAAATATTAACATAGAATTATAGTTTTTTATATGTCACGCTAGTAAATAATTTAAAATTATAAAAATATCATGGAAGATTTCATATCAATGATATTAAAATTTTAATTAAAATTTTTATATAAAAAATTATTCGATTCTTTTCAAAAGACTAAGGGACAAATTTGACTCTTTCAGAAAGGATGTAATCAAATTTAATTAAAATGGTCTGAAATAAAAATGATATAGATATGGAGGACTAAATATAATCATTATCCCAAATTTAAAACCATATGATTATTCAAAATTAGACCCGAATGAGATCGGGTCTGGGTCTGGGCCTAAGAGAGGATATGGAAGCTAACGAAGAGTAAAATCCATATTTTCTGCGGGAGATCTATCTATATTATGGTAAAATAATAATGATAAAAAAACTGAAATTCGCATTACACGGAAACACAGTTTTCCGTATTCTAGATTCGCATAATTTCCTCAAATTGTTGTTTGGAGAAGAAACTTTCTCAAATCCGGTAAAGATGATGGTCGAGGATCTGGGCGTGGAAGCCAAGGAAGCGGCGGTTCGTGAGGTGGCTAAAATACTCCCTCTTCCTGAGCTTTTACAATCTATTTCTACCATCAAAGCTGATTATATCACTCGTCAACAGGTAACCCACTCGTTTTTTTATTTTGGAATTTTTCAATAATTGAGGCTTTCAATTGCTTTGAAATCGAATTTGGCAACTTTTTCTTTATTTTTTCCTCTTATTTTTCTCTCTTAATTGTCAGGCAAATGACGCACAACTTAGTACAATGGTTGCAGAGCAGGTATCTAACTTAATGATTTTTATGTTTTTCTATACTGATCATATGTTTCGTTTGCTTATTATTGCCTTAACTACTTGATTTTCGCTGAGCAAAGACTAGTATGCGACCCTATATAATATTTCCTCAAATTGTTGTTTTTGATATATTATTTGCAAGCCAAAAAAAACATGTAGCAAGAGCAAGAGCAAGATCAAAGATTACTTGATTAAATATATGGAGCTAAGGAATCCCCTAGATTTTACTTTTTAATGATTTTTGCATGGAAAAATACAATGCTCTGCAGGTTGAGCAGGCCCAAGCTGGCCTGAGATCGCTTACATCATCTCAGAAAACAATAACCCATCTGCGTGGAAACTTCATTTCTATCGAAAAGTATGTTTGTTAGTATTACATTTTTAGATGCTATAGATGATTATTCTAGTGATTTCTCTTGAAAAATTTAAAGTTATGGATTACCTTGTCTATAGGTTATGCCAAGAGTGCCAAAACTTAATTGAAAACCATGATCAGATAAAGCTTCTCAGCAATGTCAGGAACAACTTAAATACAACACTCAAGGTGAGGTTTCCAGTTTCCTATAAATCGAAAACCATGATCAATATTGTTTCTCTTGGAAAAAGGGGTGGTTATATTGTTGGATGGGAAAGGCTTTAGTTTGTTTTATGTGAAAACTTACTTTTGTCAAATACAAACATGTGGATGTGGTTACGTGGGTTTTGTGTTTTTCAATGTATTCACCCTGTTTCTTATGCCTTGACAGTATTTTTAACATCTTGATCTATTGTAGGATGTTGAGGGTATGATGTCCATTTCAGTTGAAGCTTCCGAGGCCCGAAATTCTTTGAGTGATGATAAGGAACTTGTCAATACATATGAGGTATAACCTTTTCTTCTAT